GCCAGTGTGACTAAGGAACTAAAATTTCAATTTTATTTTATTGTAATTAATTTTTTTTTTTTTTGACACAGAGTCTTACTCTGTTGCCCAGGCTGGAGTGCAGTGGCATGATCTCAGCTCACTGCAACCTCCACCTCGGGGGCTCAAGCGATTCTCCTTGCATCATGCCTCAGCCTCCCAAGTACCTGAGATTAGAGGCATGTGCCACCTGCCCAGGTAATTTTCATAATTTTTGTAGAGATGGGATTTCACCATGCTGGCAAGGCTGGTCTCGAAACCTTGGCCTCAAGCAATCCACCCGCCTCAGCCTCCCAAAGTGTGGAATTACAGGCGTGAGCCACTGCGCCCAGCTGTAATTAATTTAAATAGCTACATGTGACTAGTAGCTGTCCTACTGAACAGTACAACTCTAGAGTATGTACAATGATTGAGAGATAAAAGATTTCTTAAGTTCTAAGAGGCCTGGCTGTGTCCCTACTGATGTGACCTTGAACAAGTCCCCTAACTGCTCTCAAGCTCAATTTCTTCATCTGTAAAATGATTGTATAGGATAGATTATGACTGTCTCTTACTCTTTGTATAAGAAAATTATTTGTTACTGTATTTCTGCTTACATGCTCTTTCTCTATTAAAAATATTGCCTGATGAGAGGGAATAATGTATGACTCTTAGACAAGGAAACCAAACATACTTCCTGTAAGTTTTCAGAGTCTCAAATCCAAAATATTAAACAATTATATATTCTTGTTCTCTCTCCTTTGTGCTCTCTGAGCATTTCATTTATTCTTTTAAATTGATATTTGTCACTCTCCATTATAGTTAGTTTGGTCTAGTATTTGTCTAACTTCCCCCAGTAGATTGTGAGTTTTCGGGGACATATATTTTGTTTAATGCTGGAACTGAGTAACAAAAAAATGAATAAATTGAGCTTTTGTGTCTTATCCAATTATATATTAAACAGGTCTGAAGAGGTATCTCTTCCCAAGCACATTCCATAAAAGCACAAAGCTAATCATGCCTTCAAAACGGAAGTGTTTTATTTCATTTTTATTCATCCTCCTTGCTGAGGATGTTTAGAAAGTGCAAACAGATTAAAAGACAAAACTTTTAAACTCCTTTAATAGTTTTGTACATTTAAATTTGGAAATTTGGACAAATTTATTTTTTCTCTTTTCTTTTTTTTTTTTTTGAGATAGAGTCTCGCTCTGCTGCCTAGGCTGGAGTGTAGTGGTGCAATCATGGCTCACTGCAACCTCCGCCTCCTGGGTTCAAGCGATTCTCCTGCCTCAGCCTCCTGAGTAGCTGGGATTACAGGCGCGTGCCACCATGCTCAGCTAATTTTTGTATTTATTTAGTAGAGACAGGGTTTCACCATGTTGGCCAGGCTGGAAGAATTTCTTTTGATAGTTTGTAAAGTCAAAAGTATTTTAGGTATTCAAATAAAAACCCAACCCTAGTAACTTAATCCTAAAATTTACCCTTTTTAGCAATATACTTACAGATATGCAATATATATTAAATTGTTTTAGAAATAGTTATTGTACTATGCTAACTAATTTCATAATAATGATAAAAAACTATCATGATTACAATGCTATTTTTCCTTTGTAACAAAGAAGTACAAGTTACCACTGGAAATCTTTACTTTCTTCCTTGAAATGCCAGAAATTCTTCTGTAAAATAAACACCTCTTGTCAAGACTCTCTGGAACTAGTATAATTACCAGAGGCAATCCTTGTGTAAGATCAAAGAAGCAAAACAATAATAGGCAACGTGTGACCTCTACCATGTCACCAGAGACCAATTTTTCAACAGGGAGAACAGTCAATAATCCAGAACAGAAAACATTAAATAACAAGAAATGCTTCCAACGTGTGGCTCACCACATCTTTCAACGCTGTCACATTCAGAGTTCATAGTCTCTATGGTTTCTGAAAACAAACTTCTGGGGATTTATCACAACAATCATTAAAATCTGCATAAAACACCAGAGGCAAAAAACAACTTGCCAATTTCCCAAATGCAGAGTAGAATTTCAAAAGATACTACAATAATTTTCTAAATTTCATCTGATGCTTTAAATAGTGGGAAGGGCACAGATAACTAAATATTTTCCACCTAACACTCAACTAATTTCTCTTATTTACCCAGCCCCATTTAATTATCCCAAAGAAGTTGTTTGCAAAGTTGGCTATGAACATTAGCCAGATAAATATAATTAGTAATAATAACATATTAAATAATTCTCCGGGTTTTTTTTGGCTTTGTTTTGTTTTTGATAATGGTAGGTCACTAAACCCAGAAAGAGGGTCTCTTGTGTAATATATTTGAGTGACTAGGCATTACAAGGGTACAAAGAGGGGTAAATAAATTCCCAAAGTAATTACAGTAAAACAGAAGTACGTTTAAAACTGACTTCTAAAAAGTACTGCAAATCAAATTGTGCCTTAGAATCGGCAAAACTTGATGGTTTTTCTTAAATACTATTGCCAAATAGCTGTCTTTTTTCAAAATCAGATGTGAATTAGGGGCTGAACAAATGTATTTGAATTATTCAACCTGCAAAGCACACATTCTGCTGATAATTCAGAGAGTAATAAAAGAGGGAGACTTTGCTTGAAAGAAAAAGCACTGTAAATTCAAAGCAACCATGAACATTCTGTGTTTTTTTTCTTAAACATTCTATTCTTTTATGATTTCTTGCTACCTCCATCTTTCCACTCTGTCATCTGCTCCTGTCTTTCCATCTTCTTAGCTTATTAACATTGCTAATCGTATTTGTCAGTTTTGCCACAATTTTAAGGTTACTTAAACAGCTGTGGGTTTTCTCTAGGCAATTATCAGTCACTATACTTAGGTTTCTAAATTAGTTGTTGAAAGGTGCTTTAACCTTGAGAAAATAGAAAAAGAGCAGACTACGTGCTAAGCCTCACATTTATGTATATGTTTCTTTAACACAAGTGATTATCACAAATTCAAAAGAAGTCACACACAATTAGTAGATATCGTAAATTTATAAATTAGCAAGGCCTATTATATTCCTTATCATTTTATCTTTCTTTCCTTATTATATACATTGTAATATATGCTTTCTCTCTATATATGTGTATAGATTGGAATACAAAAGATAGTATATAAACTGGAATATCAAAATACTGCCAAATTCCTCTAACAGTCCCCTTTCACAACCTGTCAGGTGGCTAATACCTTTCAAAGGTATCCACAATCATACAAGCGGTCTCTTGAGGTCATGGGTTGTGGTAAAGAGAGCTTTTACAACATGCAGATTTTTCCCTTCTCCATTTCCCTTCAAAAAGAAAACTCCTTATTGTATTGCTTTTCTTATTCTCTATTCGTGACTCTGACACTGATTTTCTTCTTGACCACATTCAGGAAGAAACACAAGGTTGAAGGTTATTTGTCAACTGACAGCCTCTTCTATCAACTATCGACAACTAAATAAAAAATTTGAATTCCGGAAACATACTTCATGTGCCACCCATTTTCCTCATAAGTTAAAATAAATTCAAAGATTACTTTTTAGAGTTAACAAGTTTTAGTGTTTTTAAAGGTTTAATAATAATAGCTTGTCTGCAGATTAGGCCAAAAGCTTGTAGAATGAGTTTTAAATTAATATAGGTTCCTGGATTACCTCTCCCCCCTCCACCCTCCCTCACTCCCCACCCGCTACCACTTTCTGCTCCAAGGAAAGAACAAGGTGATATTTCAACGGGGCAAAATTCTTCCTGAGAGAGAAACACTAAAATGATAAACATTTTGAAAAGCAAAGTACACTTCAAACTCCAATTGTTCTTTCAGACCTATATTGACTCTTACAGACATTGCCAACATTTGGTAAGGATTATCCTTCCATTAGACAAAAGCGAGCATTCCTTAGATAAATCAGGAGTTTTTGCCATGAGACTCATAAAACCTTTTCACAACACAGATTTTCAAGAGAATCTTTTAAGGTTTAGGAGGCTGCTCCTTTTACTAAGTAACAAAATACACCCCATGGTGTCTCACTGACCCCACTCAGCTGTCCTTTGACCTCCTCAATTGTTGCAGCCTAACTCCAGGGTCCACAGAATGTGCCTCCCATATCAAAAAGGCTAATGTTGCTTCCTCCTAGCACCTGGTGAAACAAAATGCAACAGTTCTCTTTCTTCTGCCTCCTCCGCTCCCTCTCTGACCATTTTCCAGATGTTCCAGGCCCAAATGTTAAGCCCATCCTGGGTTTCAGTATCTGCGTGGTCACCATGAAGGAACAAACAGGGACCAGGCTGAAGTGGCAATGACCCTCTTGTTCTTTTTGGCCTCAAAAGGATACAACGTGTTATAAAAGAGGAAAAGATCTTTGGCCTCTCTTGGAAATGCCAGGCTATTTAAGCACATTGTAACTTCCAAAAGGAGAGAAACAGTCTTAGGATATATATGCCCCTTCTGACAGATAGGAGTTACCTAAACAGTAGCCTTAAATTCTCAGTTCTAAGCAAGCATCTGATTTTCTTTGTTGGGGAGTAGGGAACATCACCTCTTTCCTTTTCTAAATTAAAAGCCTCCTAAAATAGGAAAAAAAAAAAACCTTTATAAAATCTTTAGAACATACATCTCAGGATAGTGTTACATAAGACGAATATGTGCAGTCAATAGGGATAATCTGGGTATTTCTGCAGAAGCCTATAATCTAGAAGTCTCATTTATTAGACAATTTGAAGGACAAAATCATAATCAACAAAAGGGAATAAAGAACTGAATTCTTATTGTCTTAATTTAGGTATATAGGAAATACAGAGGCTGTTGGAGAGAAAGAACTCACTGCAGAAGCTTTCTGATCTGGGATAAGGGGACGGGGGAGGGGAGAGGAAAGCAGGGAAGGAGAGGAGCTCTTACTTACTTTAAGGAGCAAACATAGTAGTTTTACTTAAATTTAAAATACAACTTCCTAAAACAATTTGATCTTGAACAATTGGGGAGGGGCATATATAATTGTACAATACCTTGGTTTATTTAATAACATTTTTGAATCACAGTCATGATTAAGTTGGGCAGTCAACACTTCAGGGAGTCTGTTGCCTAGATTTTAACTTGTTTAAAGCTTTTTGTGCACCTGCAAAAACATAAAAAATAAAAAAATACATATAAAGACATGAGTTAATTTCCAAATACATATTATATAATAATCTAAATATTTATAATTCTCTGAAAATCACACTTAGAAATTATCAAAGTCTTACACTTTACAACTCCATATACATTATAATGAGCAAATATACAGATACTCCACCTTTCTCAATAGTCTCAAAATAATGACTCCTAATTATAATATATACTCAAGGATAATTTCCGTTGTTCTTATGATTTCCCCCACTAAAAGTAAGTTGAATAAGTCTGTCAAGTCTGCATTTGTGGCAGATGTTACCATAATATCAAAAGCCAACAGATGACCTTTAGGAATGAAATTAGTGGAAGGTAATTTTCTTACCTAAGGAATTTAAGAGTAATAATCTCTGATACCCGGGCCAAATTTATCTACTCAAAGAACTATCAAAAATGTAAAACATAATTAATACTGATTGAATAATTTCCAATAAGCCTGCAAAAAAAAAACAGCTATTTTTTCCTACCCTTCTGAGTAGCGTATTCCTAGAAGATATTAAACTAAATAATTATAATTGCATATAATTGGTTGAAAATTATAGTACGCATATTTATCTCTCCTCTAAATAGATTATGGTCAATATAAACTACTACATGGGAAAATAGGAAATATATACATGGTTAATATAAACTACATGGGAAAATAGGAAATATAGCTGTAAAACATAAAGTGAAATGAAAGCTACCTGTCATTGATTTTTATAGATAACACAGAAGCATTTCTAGTCCTTTGTTATTGTGTTTAAAAAGAAAACAAAAGAGGATTTTCCTAAGAAACTAACTTCTTTCTTGAATATTTATATGAACTAAATATGAATATTTATAGAACTAAAATATTTGAAGTAAAATTAACTTATGTTGTCCAAAAATGTTTTTTTCATTTTACTTTTCTCTTATGCCAACTTGAAAGAAAGAAAAAAAAATTTTAGGTTTTTTGAATAAAAGTATTTATCTTACCTCTTACTGTCAGAAGAAGGTCTTCAGGCAAAATAATTAAAAATGGAAGGTCTAGTTTTTCAAACTCACATATATCCCACCCGCCCACACATAAATAGACATCTTTTCCTAAGTCAGCAGGAGCCTTGCTACCTACATCCAAACCCAAGATTACCCCATATGGTCAACAAGGTCAAACTGCATTACTGCCAATGAAACCATATTACTCCACAAGGACCCTAATGATTTAAAAAAAAAAAGAAAAAAGTCAGTAATCTAATTCCAATAGCTTCAGAGTCTAAAATTGCTAATTTTTGGCCACGTGCTGCACACTTCACCTGTTAGTAATGACATTTTTCTATTTTCTTCTAATTACACTCAAAGCTAAGACCTTTGGCCCTGGGCCACAGACCCCTATTCAGGCTGCACACATTCTCTTAAACGACCTGATCCTTTGTTGTCACTCTTACTCTTTCATCTATTATTTACACCCATAGAGAAGGAAGATACTCAACCATTTGTATAGCTTAAAGCTTCTAATCATCTTAATTTCTTTGCCTTTCAACCTATGGTCTTTTTCATAGACAAATGCCAAGAAGTTTGACAAAATCATTTTTTTTTTGCAATCATATTGCCCCCTCTTCTCCTTTCTTACTCCCCGGCCAACCTCCTTCCTGTTCCTTGTCTCTCACAGGAGGGACTTTGTATTAGCCAGGATTTACAAATTTTGACCTTCACCAACAAAATGTATTTCTAAATACAATATAAATCTCCAACTTGTTCTGACAGATCAATAACAATTATATTTCTTTTTTTGACCAAAGAACCCGTTAAGTTGAAGTTTACTGAAAATAACTTAAAATCTGTCCCCAGCCTCCCAAAAGCCTGAGCACAGAATTTTCAGAATTCCTCTACGAAAGTGCCAAAAAGCATTTAGTAAACAATATTAGTTATGTGGCCAAAACTTTTCATTTTAATGCCTGTGCTTGGTCATTTGTTTACAAAAAGAAAATTTAGAAAAAAAGAGGAAGGAAAGAAAAAAGAGAAAATAAAACAAAAATTTTAAGCTTAGATTTCTAATTTAATCTTTAAAACACTGAAAAGACTACTAATTCTCCAAACAGCAAAATCCTCACATAATATATTCTGTATCATTATGATTATTTCCCAACACTTTACCAAGGTTAAAAAATATATATTCAAACACATTTTGCAAATCCAAAGCATGGAATTGTTTACCATGATGCAGATGTCTCCCTCAGATCACGAAAGCCAAAAGATTCTGATTTCCAAGATGTTTATAAAATGACATCTGATCCATCTTTGCTCTCTTCCTCTATTGCTCAGCTTACTCTTGATTTCTAACAGTGTTTCCTTGTTGTCTGTCCCCTCTGCAGACCCTGAAACCCCTTGACTTTTCTTATTTTCACCATTTGCTTCAACCAGCAGTTCACTGGAGACCCATCCATCTTGTAATGCCTAAAGTGACAGATGCTCTCAGGAACGACCACACTGCTGAGTGAACAAAAGATAACATCACCTCCAGGAACTCCAGAGAGAAATACAACTGCAAGCTTAAGACAGGGGCTGACTTGACAGACATTGGACCATAAACCTCTTCTAAGCAAAAAAGAAAACAATTGCCACACACACAAAAAAAATCTGACACAATCAAAGGCAGAAAAGAGTGATTATTTGTGGATTGCCTTTTCACTCTGTAACTCACTTTTCCCCACCCAGTGCTTTTATATTGGGGCAATTCACTCACCAATAGGCAAGAGGAGTTCTTGTGTGTGTTTGAGGGTGGGGGCGGGCAGGGGAGCCTTTCTCAAGTATCTTCTTTTATTCATCAATATTCAAAGTGAAATTCATTCACAAGTGTTTCAGGAGATCTAAGTCTGCCACACAGCATTCTTAAGCCTGACTATCTTGTTTGCATATAGCAATATCTGGACTCAGAAATGCTGACTCAGTTCTACTGCGTGACAGGCATATGCATGCTTTGCAAATTAAAAACACATTAGAAATTAAAAAGCAACCTGTGACAATGTCAACAATATGTGCAGCACATTTGAAAAAGCTCACCATTCATTCATGAGACAATCTCCAACTTGGGTTAAAAAGACATTTTACAAGAGGATTCTGGGAAGGGCTGCAGAGCTCTTTTCTAACAAAGGAAAGGTCATATTAACATCTCCCAGCAACAAACTAATGACAGGGAAGCTGTAGATACAGGAGACTCTGCTTGATGCCATCTAGGTTCTAGGACTTTCCTTGTGGCTGTTATTTAAAACATCTTATTTAAAACCATCAGACAGCAATAGGAAGTAAATAGAACTCTTAACATTCAGATAAATTCAGTGAAGGGAAAATGTCAAAGAACATAAAAACAAAAACTAACCTGAAGGTCAATTAAGAACATCATGTGGTCAATGCCAATTATGGAGATTAACAACCCGTTTTTATAATAGATATCGAGCAACACAGGAAAACCTCTGTTGGAGCTAAATACATTATTTTTCTCAAAAAGGGAAAATGATACAAATATTTATGTTACATCTAAAATAAAAAGCCAAAATGCTTAAGAAAATTTCCATCAACAGTATTTCTAAGAAGAAATCTAAATACAGCATTTCTTTAATAAAAATATTTTTTCTCTAAAATTTTTGTACACAAAGCCTTTAAGTTATGCTACAATCATTTTTCTCTGGCGTTACTAATGACTCCTCTCCTCTCCACTTTCCAAAAAGAAAAAAACAAATTTTAAAGTATATTTTGTCTCCTGTGATTGAATTACTTGTGGGGAGAAGGTTAAAAAAAATTTCAACTTATATAAATCAACATATCAGTTATTTAAACATTTTTATGTCTCTCTTCTTTCCTCAAACACTTCAATGTATCTTTCATAAATAACATAGTATAATGTTTCATAATCTCAGAATTTTCTGTTTTTTTTTTTAAGGCTGGCAAAGCAGAATACATACAAAATAAAAAAATGAGTATGTAAAATGATATCACAATAGAAAAAAGATTAAATAATTATAGAACACTTATGTAAAATATTTGTTCTAATATGGACTGGATCTTTAACTAGAAGACTTTATAAACAAAGCCTTATACACAGTGGCCCTAAGTAATCCCCCACAATCTATTAATCCAGAAGTACCACATCATTCAACACTTTCAAACTTTGGCATTAATAACAAGAAAGAGAAGTGACCTTGAAATGACAGCTCCACTGCAGAAGGCTCAAAAAAAGATCCAATTAAATGATCTACATTAAAACACAATAGAATCAATATGCATGCTAGAAAAGTACACCCCTATGGAAAGTTCTTATTATCTGACTGATCAGAAACAAAACAAAATTTTTTTTTTTTTAAGGACCCCTTCCAGATCACAGTCTGTACCAGAAATCCACACAGGAAAAAAAATCCATCAAAATGAAACCCTAAAAAGGTTTACCCTCCACCATCCTATTTGCACTTCAAAACCCTGTTAGTCCTTCAGTTAAACCCCAGGGCTGAACCATTTCAATAATAAGAGAGGTGGCCAGTGGTGATTTATCTCCCATTTGGCCTCTGGACAGAGCTGTAATGTCTAGGAAGCTTCCCTTCCCTGACTGGATCCCTCCCCCAAGTCTCCACATTAATTTGTGCAGCCTTGGGTCTGCAATACCTTAGAAACAATTCATGTGCCCCTTCCAATCAGATGCAGGAACACTCTGTACTCAAGATTTGGTACATTTTCTCAGCAATGATTTCACAAAATGGCATGCTGCTGACTAATCAGAGCATGGCAAATACCAGTTTACATTTCAGATTCTCTTTGTTATAAGTTAGGGAAGAAAAGAAACTTCCTTAACTGTAGCCCCTCTCCTCTCACATACGTTACCGTAACTTCATAAGCTTTTCCCATTGTATACTTTGATACCCTTTATGTTTGGGACCACATTAGCCAATATCCTTCAGTGTGGTACTCATCTAAATTTAAATCTTTGCATTGTAAAAGACCTTAACAAATCCAAAAAAGTGGAGATTTCATAGGTCACAGACTCCTGGGTCAAAAAGACCTAAAAATAGATAACAGACCACCACGACTGAACTGACTTACTCTACCCTTGTTATCAAATATGTACTGTGTAACTGTCATCACATACACTCACCAATTTTCCTGTAGTAAAATAAACACCAACAATGTTAACAGTTATCTAAATGGAAATATAGATCCCAAAAGTCATCAAATGTGAAATACAGGGAAATTACTCCTTAAAAATGGAGGATATTTTATCACTAAGTATGACTTATCTATTTCATAGTTATGTTCATTTGCTTTCTAAAATGGAAAAGAGAATAAAAAGCATATATAACCTTTTCCCTATCTATTCAATTTTTTGTTTTATTTAAATGAGAGGAGGTTTTCTAATTGAGTCTGATAAATTCCAGCTGAATGTCACATTAACAGCTTGCACCAAATGATTCAACTATAGTGATCTAATTTTACCAGTTGAAAATGTTCAAGCTATTTCACTAAATTCACAAGTTTAGAGACTCCATAGGCAAAGATAAATGTATTTCATTGAATCCTAATATCAGGCACTGAGTGCAGTGGCTCATGCCTGTAATCCCAGCACTCTGGGAGGCCGAGTGGGGTAGATCACCTAAGGTCAGTAGATCGAGACCATCCTGGCTAACACGGTGAAACCCCGTCTCTACCAAAAATACAAAAAATTAGCCGGGCGAGGTGGCGGGCGCCTGTAGTCCCAGCTACTTGGGAGGCTGAGGCGGGAGAATGGCGTGAACCCGGGAGGCGGAGCTTGCAGTGAGCCGAGATTGCGCCACTGAACTCCAGCCTGGGCGACAGAGCGAGACTGCGTCTCAAAACAAACAACAACAACAAAAAATAAAAAAAAAAAAAAAAAAAATTAGCTGGGTGTGGTAGCAGGCGCCTGTAATCCCAGCTACTTGGGAGGCTGAGGCAGGAGAATTGCTTGAACCCCGGAGGCAGAGGCTGCAGTGAGCGGAGATCGTGTCACTGCACTCCAGCCTGGACGACAGAGGGAGACTTCGTCTCAAAGTAAATAATAATAATAAAATAAAAAACAAAAACCTTAATATCAGTTAAGGAAACTTAAAAATAAGAAAAGTAAATATATGACTGATAGTTTAAAATACAAGAAATATAACTCATCGTCAACTGAAAGAATTATTCACAATTTTGGAAGTATTTATCAATAAAAGTTATATTTCTTCAATTAAAAAATACACCACAAACATCCTTATACCACATTAGCAAATGTTTTTCATTTTCAAAGCCCTAAATACCACAAATTCCAGAAAAAAAAACCTTCCTACCAAATTACTTTATTGCATGCAACCAGATCAATGAATCTCAGATTTATATTTGAGATGACACAAATATTTAAACTGGCATTAATAACAATATTCAGGAAAACAAATTTCTTAACCTACTTCATGAAAACAACCATAACAAAAAGAAGCTTTCCTCAACAGTCAACAAGAGTAGTTGATGCATCACAGAGGAAATATCCAATCTTCATTAAATATTTATTCAGTGCAATAGACTGTTAGGTGCTATTTAGACCTCAAAGAAGAAGCACTTCCTGTCTGGTAGGAATCATGTCTTAGGAGAACTGAATGGAGATGAGAGGGAGTTCCTCAAGTCGTGACACTATACTTCAAAAAGACAATGCTAAAAACTAGAAATGCGCTATAAAATGTATATTATCACTTTGAAGTCTAATACCAAAAAAGTGATACCTAAGGGAGTACTAACTTGAATAAGACTTGACTGAGTAGTTCTTAATTTAATTTTATTTTTTTGAGATGGAGTCTCACCCTGTCACCCAGCCTGGAGTGCAATGGCACAATCTTGGCTCACTGCAATCTCTGCTTCCCAGGTTCAAATGATTCTCCTGCCTCAGCCTCCCAAGTAGATGGGATTACAGGCGCCCGCCACCACGCCCAGCGAAGTTTTGTATTTTTAGTAGAGATGGGATTTCACCATGTTGGCCAGGCTGGTTTCGAACTCCTGACCTCATAATCCGCCTCAGCCTCCCAAAGTGCTGGGATTACAGGCGTGAGCCATTGTGCCCAGCCCCTGATTTCTTATTAATGTAGCATGAAAATATTTGGATGTTCCAGATGTGCAGTTCCCAACTCTGCCCCTAAGTAACCATGGCCAGGACACCTATCTTCCCTGGGCCTCAGTTTCCTTATCCATAAAATGAGGATAAAAGTAACATAACAAAAAGACCCTTCTAGATTGAAAACATTTATGGTGGTCTCTGCAGATGACATGATCTTGTACATAGAAAACCTTAAGACTCCACCAAACAACTGTTAGAACTAATAAACAAATTCAGTAAAGTTGATACAAAATCAACATACGAAATCAGCATTTCTTCCTTTTTTATTATTCTGTGAAGTTATTATCTTTTCATTTTATTTCAACAGTTTTTGGTGAGCAGGTAGTTTTTGGTTACATAAATATGTTCTTTAGTGGTGATTGCTGAGATTTCGGTGCACCCATCACCTGAGCAGTGTACACCGTACCCAATGTGTAGTCTTTTATCTTTCACCTCCACTCCCAACCTTTTCCCCAAAGTCCATTATATTACTCTTACACCTTTTTTACACCTTTGTGCTCTCACAGCTTAGCTGCCACTTATAAGTGAGAACAGGCCAGGTGCGGTGGCTCACGCCTGTAATCCCAGCACTTTGGGAGGCCGAGGCGGGCGGATCACGAGGTCAGGAGATCAAGACCATTCTGGCTAACATGGTGCAAACCCGTCTCCACTAAAAATACAAAAAATTAGCGGGGTGTGGTGGCAGGCACCTGTAGTCCCAGCTACTTGGGAGGCTGAGGCAGGAGAATCACTTGAACCCAGGAGGCAGAGCTTGCAGTGAGCCGAGATCTCACGACTGCACTCCACTCCAGCCTGGTGACAGAGCAAGAGTCTGTCTTTAAATAAACACATAAAGTGAGAACATACAATAACTGGTTTTCCTCAAAAATCAGCATTTCTATATGCTAACCACAAATTATCCAAAAAAGAAATGGAAAAAAATCTTATTTATAATAGCTACAAAATTAAAAAAAAAAATTAGGACTACATTTAACCAAGGAGGTGAAAGATCTGTACACTGAAAACTATAAAACATTAATTGCAGATACAAATAAATGGAAAGATATCTTGTGTTTATGGATTTAAAAAATGAATATTGTTTAAATGCACATACTACCCAAAGCAGTCTTCAGATTCAATGCAATTCCTATCAAAATTCCAAGACATTTTTCACAGAAATAGAAAAAATAATCCTAGAATGTATATGGAACAACAAAAGACCCCAAATAGCCAAAGCAATCTTGAGCAAAAAGAACAAAGCTGGAGGCATCATACTACCTGATTTCAATATTTACTACAAAGCTATAATAATCAAAAAAGCATGGTACTGGCATAAAAATAGACCAATGGAACAGAACAGAAAGCCCCCAAAATTAATCCATGCATTTATGGTCAATTGATTTTCATGAAAGAGGCCAAGAACACACAATGGGAAAGAACAGTCTCTTCAATAACTGATGCTTGGAAAACTGAATATTCAGGTGCAAAAGAAAGAAATTAGACCCTTACATCATTTAGAAAAATCAACTCAAAATGGACTTAGATATAAGACCTGAAGCTATAAAAATTCTACACGAAAACATGGGAAAAGTTCATGACATTGGTGTGGACAATGATTTTTTTGACTATGACTCCAAAAGCACAGGCAGTAAAAGCAAAAACAGACAAATGAGATTGCATCAAATTAAACAGCTTCTGCACAACCAAGGAAACAATCAACAGGGCGAAGAGCCAACATACAGAATAGGAGAAAATACTTGCAAACCATACATCTAATCAGGGGTTAAAATCCCAACTACAAATAACTCAAGTAGGCCGGGCGCAGTGGCTCACGCCTGTAATCCCAGCACTTTGGGAGGCCAAGGCGGCCGGATCATGGGTCAGGAGATCGAGACCATCCTGGCTAACATGGTGAAACCCCATCTCTACTAAAAATACAAAAATAGCCGGACATCGTGGCATGTGCCTATAGTCCCAGCTACTTGGGAGGCTGAGGCAGAAGAATTGCTTGAACCCAGGAAGCAGAGGCTGCAGTGAGCCGAGATTGTGCCACTGCACTCCAGCCTGGGCAACAGAATGAGTCTCCATCTCAAATAAATAAATTAATTAATTAATCAAATAAATAAATAATTTAACAGTAGGAGAACAAATAACCCTAATTTTAAAATGGGCAAAGGACTTGAACAGACATTTCTCAAAAAGAAGACATACAAATGGCCACCAATATATGAAAAAATGCTCAACTTCACTAATCATCAGGGAAACAAATTAAAAACACAATGAGAATAGACATTCTCACATCTGTTAGAATGTCTATTATAAAAAAGATGAAAGATAACAGGTGTTGGAGAGGATGTAGAAAAAAGGAAACCCTTGCACCATGTTGGTGGGAATGTACATTGGTACAGCCATTACAGAAAACAGTATGGCGGTTTCTCAAAAAACTAAAACCAGAACTACTGTATGATCCTGCAGTTCCACCACTGGGTATGTACACAAAAGAAATGATATTGGGATCCTGAATAAATACGTGCACCCTCCTGGTCACTGCAGCTTTATTCATAATAGCCAATTTATGAAATCAACTTAAGTGTCCATCAACAGATGTATGTATAAGGAAAATGTGGTATATATACACAATGGAATACTATTCAGTCTTCAAAAAGAATGAAATCCTACTATTTGGAACAACATTGATGAACCTGAAGGATATTATATCAAGTGAAATAAGCAGGCACAGAAAGACAAATACTGTATAATCTCAATTATATATGGAATCTTAAAAAGTCAAACTCACTGAAGCAGAGAGTCAAATGACAGTTATCAGGGGCAGCACTGGGAATAGGGTGAGATGTTGGTCAAAAGACACAAAATTTCAGTTAGATAGAAGGAACAGGCCGGGCGCTGTGGCTAATGCCTATAATTCCAGCACTTTGGGAGGCTGAGGTGGGCGGATCTTTTTAGTAGAGATGGGTCTCATCTACTCCCTATCTGAAAGAGATACCAGAGAGGCAGAACTTGAACTCCTATACCTCACAGGGATAGCCACGCTCCATGCGCGGGTGAAAGCCAGTTGCGCCTGTCCAATAGCTTGGGATGGTACAAGTGTGAGCGACAGCGCAGAGGCGTACTGGCAGGGGGGCAGCGGCGCAAGGCAGATGTATGTATAATTGCCGTTGAACCGCATGGATTTGTGTTAAGTTTTAGAGCATGGAGGCCAAACGAATCCGTCTAACAAAGCCAGCGACTTATGGGTGCAGGGCTTCCCGAGGGGGGTGGTGCACAAGGGGAAAACAGGATACACTAGGGAAGTCAAACAGTAACGAATAACAGATACAGTCAGGAGACGACAGGAACACTGTATTAATAGGCAGCAATATAGGGCAATAGAGGTAAGATAAGATACAAATAGTATAAGTGTGATTTTTAAAAAGTTTCCCCCAACTAATGGTATGTGTTCGCGAGGTGAAGCGTGGTCTACAAGTGAAACTTCCACCATTATAGACAAGATAGTA